ACCAGGGGCTGCACCTAGGGATTGGGCCTGCCCTCTGCCACCCGGGAGCAAGCCTAAGCCAGCAGGTCGTTATCTCCCGAGGGGTCCCAGACTGCGAGAGGGCACAGGCCAGGCTGAGGGACCACCCCCCCTTCCCCTGAGTGCACAATTTTTTGTGCACCGGGCCTCTAGTATATGAATAAGAAAGAGGAGAGATAAAATGCAGAACTCTGAACACAGACCTTTGGGGGAAAATACAATTCAAAGAATTCTGAGAAAATCAAAAGACTTTACATGGTAGAGTCAATGATGACATTCTATGAGCTACTGACCTGGATTTTCAGCTCTGGTGGTCAGTTTCTATCAGCTCAGTACTAGTCACCTGATGGTACAGTGATTAGGCCCTTGGGAGAGCTTTGCCTTCCACACTGATCCATTTCATGCTTTGTCTATTTCTAGAATCGTGTCTCTTATGATCTTCAATCTTGCCAGCTTTCATTTGAATCTCCAGCTTGTAGTCAAATGACAAGTCCAGTCCTGGCCTGTAGGGGCTCAGTTGGTTGGGTGTTGTTCTGTGCACCCACCAAAAGGTTGCTGGTTTGATTCCTGATCAGGGCACATGCCCAAGTTGTGGACTATCTCCCCTGTAGGGGATGTGCAGGAGGCAAGCAATCGATGTTTCCCTCACATAGATATTTTTCTCTCTCTCTCCCATCCTCTCTCTCTAAAAATCAATTTTAAAAATATTTTTAAAAACTGACAAGCCCAGTACACAGGTGATATATTTTCATAGTTCTAAGGTGCTATATAGGCCATTTTTGTCAAGACTCTCTAGTTTGTGTTCTGATCTAACTGTGGGTAAGCCTCAAAATTATTTTAAGATATTCTGAACATTATTTCTAAACTCCCAAAAGAAGTATGAAAAAAATTAGTAGACAGACCTATTAAACCAAATTTGTTTCAGTTTAATTTAGTGCCACCCATTCACTCAGGTTAGGTAAAGATGGAATGGTGACCAAGCATGTTTCCTTGAGATTTATCATAGCAATGTCCCTTTATTACCTCCCATTTAAAAACATATCTTGACTATTCCGTAGGCATGCTATGGATTTAACTGCACTGCCAAGAAAAATATGATTTTCAGGAAGCTATTGAAAGTAATATATTTCATGACTTTTAAATTTTCCAAATATGACCTTTTCCTTCTTTTCTTCTAGGTTGTAAAAATGATGATTATTGTTGTGGTGACATTTGCCATCTGCTGGCTGCCCTATCATATTTACTTCATCCTCACTGCAATCTATCAACAACTAAATCGGTGGAAATACATCCAGCAGGTCTACCTGGCGAGCTTTTGGCTGGCCATGAGCTCGACCATGTACAATCCCATCATCTACTGTTGTCTGAATAAAAGGTAAAAACAAAATTGCCCAATGCCAGTTTCTTGTCCCTCCTGGCATCACTGGGAGCATATAATGTTGTTCCAGCTTCTTGGTGTGAATTTAAAATGGAAAAATTCACTGAGAGGAGCACAGAGCTGGATATTTTTCTAGACTCTCCCCTATTACATAAAATACCTCACCCTCAAAACAATGCTCTCAGAGATTCTGACCAGGCAGTTTTTATAGGGGCCAAATCCTCCCTCCAAGCCTTTCATAACTGTATATGCCAAGGAAAAAGGGATGCACTCATGATGAAGAGGGGGAGGTGAAGATGTGCTCAGGTCCTCAAAGAAATGAAGATACTCCATAGGCCTGCACAGATGATGGCATATGTGAGTGTACGCTACTAAAATGGGTGTTTTGTAAATAAACTTGTAAATGGAAGATGTTGCTGTGAGTGTGATAGAGGCAACAATACAGACAAGGGGAATTCCAATCTACCTTCCTGCATAAGGAGCTCAGTGAATAAGAGAGGGTGCAACATGGGAATGGGTTGTGAAGAAGTTGAAGTGGTCAGGGAAAAGCTATTTTTAAAGTGAAGCTAAAAAAAAGAAGAAGAAGAAAGAAGAAGAAGAAGAAGAAGAAGAAGAAGAAGAAGAAGAAGAAGAAGAAGAAGAAGAAGAAGAAGAAGAAGAAGAAGAAGAAGAGGAAGAAGAGGAAGAAGAAGAAGAAGAAGAAATATTTACAGTTAAATTTAAGGCTAGAAAAAAAAAGTAAAATGTGGTTTCCAGGTAAAAATCACCTAAGTTGTAAGGTCAGCACGTGGATGAGTGGGATTAATTTCATAGGGCTGATAGTTTCCTTAATAAACCAATGCGTTTTGAGCTACTTTGAGCACAAGGAGAAACGGAACTTCATCTAAGTAACTGCCTGAGCTAAATTCTAAGCTCTCTTTCCAACAGGGCCTCCACCACACTGTGCCTTATGTTTGTTACTTAATTCTTACTCTTTTTTCACTCATTGCATAAGCCATATATCAATTCAAGCCACCCCACAAGCAGTACATCTTTTTTTGATCAACTTCATTTAATAGTTTACAAAGCCAAGGATTTTACACTTTCACATGTGATTAGATAAAAACCATCATGATTTGGGGGCATTTGTGATCTTGCTCCCTGGTACATGTTGTCAGTTTGGCTCAAATAAACTCTTCTAAAAATAAAAATAAAACACCCATCAAGTTTAGCAACTAATTCTAACACTAAATAAGACTTTAATTTATAAGTGTGTAATTATGACTGAAAAAAGCTGTTTCCAAATATGCCATATTTAAGTTCCAAGACTAATTCAATTGCACTTATGCAAATGTATACAATTATTGAAGAAAGGTACACTGTTTCTTTGTTATATTGATTACCTGACGCTGTCCTTTTACTCTCTGATGACTTGCTTCTCCTTGAGGGTAAATTAAGATTCAAAGCAAACAAGAAGAACTTAAAAGACTAGTACCAATGCTGTGGCCTAAATTCTAAGAGTGTGACTAGAAAATCAGATTAAAACACTGAGTTGGCTAAATGCCTTTCTGTGGCAGTGAAAGAAATTTCCTCTTGAAAAGCATGACTCTTTCTCCCTGTGACCCACTTCTCAGGTTTCGAGCTGGCTTCAAGAGAGCCTTTCGCTGGTGTCCTTTCATCGAGGTGTCTAGCTATGATGAGCTGGAGCTCAAGGCCACCAGGTTCCACCCCACCAGGCAAAGCAGCCTGTACACGGTGACAAGGATGGAGTCCGTGTCAGTGGTGTTTGACCCCAGCGACTCCGTCAATGCCAAATCCAGCCAGAAGAAGAGAGCAACACCAAGAGACCCAAGCTCCAATAGCTGCTCCCGCAGGAATTCCAAGTCCGCCTCCACCACCTCCAGTTTCATAAGCTCACCCTATACCTCTGTGGACGAGTGTCCCTAAATCCATTCCCTGAGGTGAGGGGGTGAGGCCACCGTGGTGGCAGCCTAGGCCCCTTTCTCCTCACCATGTATCAATCCTGTCCTGCCTAC